AAGTAATGTAATATCAGAATAAATTGCATTGCTGTTTGTTTTCTTAGCTTAACTGTTAGCCGTTAGCTCCCACTTTATCCTGCTTATAGTAGATGGAAACAAGGTCCAGTGTAGTCTTCACCATGACGATTCTACCACCCCACTGTCCATTGTTTCCCACTTACGTGAGATCTTGCTCTTGTTTTTTACTGTCACTGTTTTTTGTTTTTTTTTTACTCTGTATTTTATCTTAAAGCCCTTTGTAATAACAAAAACAATATTTTGCTTGTACAGACTAAAAGCACACCAGAGACTTCACACAGGCAAGACATTCAACTGTGAATCAGAGGGCTGCACAAAGTACTTTACCACACTCAGCGACTTGAGAAAGCACATCCGCACGCATACAGGGGAAAAGCCATTCAGGTGAGCTTTCACATGGCTGCTTAGGTCACAATCTGACTCTTCTAATGTGATAAGAAATATACCATTCTCCTAACCCCAGGTGTGATCATGATGGCTGTGGGAAAGCATTTGCAGCCAGTCACCACCTAAAAACACATGTACGGACCCACACAGGTATTTGTCAAAATACTTTTAAAAACTGATTTATCTTTCTTGAAGTAATAATTTAATGTATTTGTAGGAGAAAAACCTTTCAACTGCCCCAGCGATGGTTGTGAAAGAACATTCAGCAGCCAATACAGCTTGAAGAGTCACATCCGTGGTCATGACAAAGGACAGCCATTTGGTGGCAGCCTCATCCACCCACACTCTGAAGTGAGTTTCTTTTAGACTCAGTTCCAAAAATATAGTGTGCCCAAATAGATGTCTTTTACTGAGAATTTGAGGATTTTACTTTCAATTGCAGGATGCAAATCATTCACTCTGCCTCAGTGACTTAAGCCTCATTTCAACAGACTCAGAGTTGCGAGAGAACATCAATAATGTACGGGTTTGTCTTGCTTTGTTTAATATTTTACAACTGGTGAAAGTAATATTTAGTTTCATTTGTATTTTAATAACAGGAACTCAACAATGTGACCCCTATAAAAATCTTTGAGCTCATGTTCCAGAGCCCAGAGAACAGTGTCAGTCATGAACAAACACATCCCTGTGGTAAGGCTCAGAATTTCTTGTGCTATGGCTAACCCTGGTTAATACTAAATAAAGGTATAATAATTTGAAGGTTTGTTTCTCCTACAGAGACAGTAACGGAGGCGCTCAGCACAGACACCTCTGCCCAGCCCCGAGTCACTGATGTGTCTTGTTCTGCCATTTCAGGGTGCACTCATGCCCCAGCACCTGTTACTGTTTGCTCTGCTCCAACAAGCCCGTACATCCAAATAAAACCACAGATTTCAGATGTGCCTGTTCAGACTTCTGCCCCAAACCTAGCTACTTCACAGCAGTTTGTGGCACTCCAGTCCACATTCCTGCAGCCTGAGAGCAGTAGCCCGGCCCCTCTGCCTGTCTCTGCTCTCTCCACAACAGCATCCAGTACAACCCAGACCCAGCCTGTGCCTTTGGCCACTAACTCCCCACCTGTGTCATCCTCTGGTCCTGTGGCTTCCACTCAGGCTGCCATCACTATTGCTCCCACACAGAACCTGCTGCAGCCCAGTCTGGTCATGTCCGACCAAAACCTTCAGTGGATCCTCAGCAGTGCGGCCAACAGTCAGCAAAACCCCGATCAAGCAGTGAGTGGCCTATCTTTCATTGTGTCTTTTATATGTAATTTTCTCTACTAAACATTGCATTTTTGTACAGCAACACCAAGGAGGTCCAAAAGTAGAAAAAGTGTTCTTCACTACTGCAATACCAGTGGGTGGTAATGCTGGTGAGTCAAGTCAGTTGCTGTATAAAGGCACCACTTTGAATTAGACATTAAAATGAATATCTTGATATATATATATATATATATATATATATATACTTTTAGTAAAATAATTTTCATGTCAGTCCAACAAAAATGTGCTAAAACATTCTTTAAATGTTTTATGTTCAGACCAGGCAAAAATGTATCTACAAAAGAAAAATAAATATTATACACAATATTATTATGTAGACAATCAAAGTTTAATTTTACCTATGCTCACATCTTAATGTTTGGACTTGTTTTTTCATTCCAGGTAGCTCAGTGCAGCAGATTGGCCTTAGTCTTCCTGTTATCATCATCAAACAGGAAGAGTCATGCCAGTGTCAGTGTGCCTGTCGAGACTCAGTAAAGGACAAAAGTGTAAAGAGCGTGTCCCCTGTGTCCGCTCCAGCGCGGCAGTCTCCCACAGAGCCTCCTCCTGTAGAGCCTCCAAAGCCCACCCCCCCAACGTCCTGCTGCCTATCCAGACCAGCCTCAGACTCTGCCGCAGTGGGACAGAAAGCCTCCTCTTCCTCCTCTTCTTCGTCCTCTTCTTCCTCTATGCCCACTCAAGTGAGCACCAGTGCCACCGCCACCAGTGCTGCATCATCTAGTAGCTTAGGCAACATGGATGTGTCAGACTACCTTTCCCTGCACAGTCCAGAGTCAGCAGCGAACCTAGAGGCCCTGCTGCTGGTGGCTCAGGACATGAACGTGACCGCTGATGGTAACGCCTAAACAGCTCCATGTGTTCTGTTGCTCCCACTCAAGTGCAGGCTTCCATTACACCCACATCCCCAGTCATGTTCCTCAGTGACGCCCCCTCTGCTCCTGTACAGTGTGCAGCATACAGTCCTATCTGCACTGGGTTCTGTTCTCGATCTGTAATGTTGTGAACACCATATTCATGCAAATTGAATAGTTTCTGTTGTCTCACTGAAATCATTTTAGATTTGTGTTGTGAGATTTTTGCAATGCTTATTAATGCAGAGGGAAAGTAAACTGTTTGACAGAGTATATAAAGAAAGTGTACATAACACCTTTTAGTTTAAATATAATTTTGGTGTTGTCTAAGCACTGATTAGGAATTCCATTTTCCTAACAAAAGGTAAAGCCTGAATAGGAAAAGCAATGTATTTCAATGTATCTTTGTACTGTACCACGGGTTCTAGCAATTATTTAAGCTGGTATGCAACTGGCCAGAATGCACTGTATATTTGTGGAATTCTACAAAGTACATCTCCCAACATTCAGTGGGTTTGGCAACTCCTAGCCCTTCGAGATTTGATCTTGGACCATAAAATGTGATGTATACTTGTAAACTGTGTTAGGTGATATACTCATCAGAAGAAGAACCTGTGATTGCAGTTGCCTGTCTTTTTTAAAGTGAAATTAATCTGATAGTACTTCAATCGCCTAACTGAATGCTAATTTAAAGTTGTATGTGTTAATTTATTTGAATGATTAATTCTTTCATTTATTTCTAGCAATAGCGTTATTTTTAAACAGCAGAAGATATATTAATTTATTTCAAATCACTTGTATAGTTTATTTGTTTGTTACTGATTTCTGTTTTGAGTTGCTGAAAGCAAATTTATCTAAGAGACACCTTTAGTAGACTGCACATCCATCCACATGGAAAAGCCCAGTATACATCATCCTGTTGTTCAGGGCCATGGCCCTCTCAGGGATGCATTGGTCATTACCAATACAGCTCCCCACATTTGAGTCTCTGACATCAGTATCTCCACCTGTAGTAGCCCTATGTTTAGCTGCACTCTTCCCTGTATGTTGCACACTAACTTGCTACAAGAGTAATCTGAGCTTGTTAGATTGCATGCAGCACCACTACAGACTTTTGTAAAACTGCTGTATAGTAGCAATTCAAATGGTGTCCTGGTGACCGTGTAAATAGAGTACATTTTAGTGTATACATATGAGAACTTGTAGATTACTGTAGAGTTTGTATTTTTGTATAGACTTTTGAATTTCTAGTTTGAGGTTGGAGAAAATGTATCCCCCAATCTTTGCATTTTCCTTCCAGTTTTTCAAGAGTGTACTTGCTTAAAACAGCAACTATATTTCACATTTGGGAATCTCGTGCTCTTAGCTTTTTCTTATTTTTTTTAGTTTAAGTAAATTATTGTTGTTATTGACAAGAATAGAGTCCCTTCCTATAGTTACAAGGCCTTACGACAGAACTGTTCTTTGAGCCGTTTTGCCTTTGACAGTCTGCCACTACACTAGTCTCAGACCATTCCTTTTAACAACTCATAACAAAGCTTCACTGAAATATTGTAAAAATAGTGGAACATGTGTACATTTGAGTTTAAATGTATTCACTCTAACCTGAAATGCATGATTTTTTTTTTCAGTTTAATCCATAGATTCATTTAGATTTACTGCCATATGCTACCTATACATGCTTTTGTTTAAAAAAAAAAAAAACTATGCAATTTACGAGTGGCATTCAGTGTGTAAACTGCCGTTTAAGATATTTCCTTATTCAATGCTTCTTATGATTTTATGCAGGATGTCAGTGGCAGATGTTGCCTTTCCAGTGCATTTACTGTGTTTGATTTTCCATGTCAAGGATTTCATCCTTGACACTTTTTGAGTGTGGTTTATGGGGTTTGTAGTTTTTCCATCAAGTACTGTTCCCATGAATGTTGCACCAGTTATCCTTTATTGTGCTGTTTTGCCTCCAACATATAGAAAATACATCCTACTTATTTGAAGGAGTTTTTTGTAATTGAATGATTCTGTTTTAAGAATTGTATTGGGTAAAGCATTGTTTAAAGCCTATACCAGTCATCTCAAACTTACTGGTTACTACAGTTACTGCAAGTTACAGCTGTTGGTGTATGTTTTTGAAGAGTTTTGGGCTTGCAGCCTGAGAATGCTTTTCTGGAGTTTACCCAATCTGGTTATTTCAGCCAGTTAGGTGACATTTATTTGAAAGCCAACAGTTTGAGCAAAGCTTTCAAACAAATGTCCTACACCCAAAGAGTGAGGAATTAAACTGTTATGGATCTGTATTTTTAAAGAATGTATTATATGAAGAAGTTTGCTTATGCTTGTTTCGTACAAAGTTATATACTAAATAACTTTCTGAATGGAGAGCAATATAGTAATAATAATAAAACCTTATCCTTATCACTGATACGATTGCCATTTTTATTGAACATTTTTAAAAGCATTTATTCTCTTAGTCACTTCTGTAGCGGCAAGGTCACATCTTGAAGAGATCTCCTCTGTAAAACATGGACTTTATTGTTAGTTCAAAGTTTATATTTGGTTAATATTTAGTTCAAATGTTTATATCTGATAAATGACAAAAGAAAAACAAAAACAAAAAACTCACCACTAGTACCTCATTTAAATCCTTAAGGTCATCCAGGATTTTGGAGCACAACTTTACCCGGTCAGAAAAAGCCCCAAGTTTGTTCTCAACATCAGCAAGAGCCTGTAAAAAAGATAGACAAAAAGAAGTGGTTGCTTTAGACCTTTGGCTTAATGTGCACGGTTTGCAAACCTGTTGTTCTTTTGAAATGTCTTCACTGTTTACTGGGACATCTTTAAAATCTGTAGCTACCTCAAAAAGTGGAGATTTAAATTAAATAGCATTTTACATTTTATTTGGTCAAATTGCATTGCATTACCTGCTTCTGAGGTCATTTTCAGACTTGCTTCAACTGTATGTCCTACCTATTTGACCAGGTGACAGCAATTATCTTAAATTGGCGACCCGGTTCCCTTTACATTTATATTGTTATAATATTACTTTTAATTTTAGTGTTATTTTTTAAACACTCGTCACAAAACCATAATCTAATAACAAGTTAGATAGTCTATTTTATAAGACATCAAAATGTTTAAGAGGGTGTTGAGGTGCTCTGTATTTGTCGACGGCCCCTTTAAGAGCGGTGACGTCTTTGTTTGTGGGCGTAACCCGGAAAACGTGCTATTTCATCAGATTCACACACGCTTCCTCCCGGGCTATGAAATGACATGTTTTACCATACAGCTCAGAGTTTATAGAGCTGTCTTTAGGTTTTTCACTTTTCGAGGCATTCAAAGTTTAGCTGCAAGTCATCAACACGAAATAGACATGTGTAAAGAACTCAAGACCAAAGTGTTGCGTTTGTTACCGCAGACTTCCAACGGGCCGAGCGCTCAGCAGTACGAGAGCCACTCAGGTCAGCTGTCACCGGGGATCGGCTGTGTTCATGTGGGGTCCTTACCTTTCACTGCACTTTAAAAGGGTTCTGGGGGTAAAATATATAAAAATCCTAATTATGTATATCTTCACGATGGCATGGAAAAAGTTACATTTGCGACTATGAAGGAGACTGGAGGAAGAATGAATCACCCCTGTGCTTTTCAGGTTTTTAACGCTAAGTGAATATTGACATATCCAACACTAAGCATATACTGGCCAAGTGTACAGCACAGTACAATATTTTATAATTATGTGTGTTCTGTTTAATAAGTATGTATTAATTGGCCTGCAGTGGAATGTAACTTACAATTACAATCAATAACTTAAATCAATAACATTTTTAGGTATCTGTACTTTACTTGAATACATTTTAAAGTAGATACTTTTTACTTTTACTTCACTACGTTTGAGAATAGGTATCTGTACTTTCTACTTCTACATTTTGGACTGGACTCAGAAGTAAAATATTTTTTTTTCTTATTCTTCTTTTAGGCTTGCTGTAGTTTGAACAAACAAAAATCTACAAATAAAAACGGCTAGGAAAAATATATGAATTCAGTTGTTTCTGTAGAACAAAATTCAGCACAAATCTTTATCAAAAGTACACTGTACATTTGAAGCTTTATTACATCTCAAAATGTTAACCTGAAATAATTGTTTGTGGTTGGCTATGTATGTATGTTTTCACTACTGAACAAAAACAATAACATGTAGTTTCCATTTTTGAAATAATCCATGCCCCCAATGTGTTTGAACTGCAGATGGTGCTGATGTCCTGGGACAGACCGTGAAGGCTCTGCAGGAGGGCCATGTGGTCGCCCTGCCCACTGACACTATCTATGGCCTGGCCTGTCTTGCTCAAAATTCAGAGGCAGTCTGCAAAATCTATGACATTAAAGGACGAAATGCACAGAAACCTCTAGCAATTTGTGTGGGTGAAGTCCAGGATATTCAAAAGTGAGTTCTTCAAAACAATGTGTCAATACTGAAACCTGAAAATTATCAATGGTTTAGGCAAATTATACTGTAACTGATTTTCTACTCGACTGATCATAACTTTATGTTTTGACAGATACTGTAAAGTAAAAGTTAAAGAAGAGTTGTTGGATGACCTGCTGCCTGGGCCAGTCACCTTGGTGTTTGAAAGAACTGACTTTCTCAACAGAGACCTTAACCCATTCACTTCAGTAAGTTTACAAGATAGACTGTAGTGAGAGAGTGTGAGGTCACCCATAGCATTCAGCTCCAGTCAAACGAAGCTCACCATGCTAGCAGTTACAGGAACGAATTTGGAACCAGGTCCACATTAGGAATAGCCATTTATTTAGAAAATATCAAAATAAAACCGCTAGGATAATGTAGACCAAAATGATGAGGCTCACAACAACAGTTACAAAGAGAGATGTGACAATTTTCCTATTTGGAACATGGTGACTAGCGGGTTAGCTATGTCCATTTATATATACAGTCTATGGTTTAAACTTTACAGCTAAATGCTTATATGCAAAAATGGTTTGACAAATCAGTGACATTGTTTTATGTCCTTAGCTCGTAGGCGTCCGTATCCCAGACCACCCCTTCATGAGGCGGCTGTGTCAGATGTGTGGGGAGCCTCTCGCACTCACCAGCGCCAACATCAGTTCACAAACTAGTACTGTAGCTGCACACGTGAGTAGTTTTCCAATGATGATTTCACTGTGGAGATAAAAGCTTTGGTTGCTCTTCAAAAATGGTATGACGTTTGCTTTCAGGAGTTCAAGGAGCTCTGGCCAAAGCTTGCAGTTGTGGTGGACGGAGGCCCAATAGGTGACGAGAGCCGCCTTGGTTCAACTGTAGTAGACCTGTCTGTTCTTGGGAAATACAGAATAATCAGACAAGGCTGGTAAGGATGTATGTATGTATGTATGTATATATATATATATATATATATATATATATATATATATATATATATATATATATATATATATATATATATATATATATACATATATATATATATATACATATACATATATCTGATTAGAAAGAAATGACTTAGCTGGAACTACAACAAGTGAGCTGATTTGTACTGTACTGATTTGTACTGCAAGTCTCTCACAAATTATTGCATTACATTACATTCACAAGCTAGCTAGCATTAGCTAGCAGTTTTTTCAGTTAGTAACTCACATTTTTTGTTGAAAGTCAAACTCCTAAACAAGACCATGAACACTCGTACTGATCACAGGCTCCTGAAAATGTGTTGTTTAAATATATTTTTTTCCCTAAAGTTTTTTCCTTTTTTGTCTGTTTGCTAATGTGTGCATTGTATCACCATGGTAACTGCTGAACCTTCCGTCAATAGAGATGCAAGTAGAACGATCCCAATGTGATGTCACTGGCGACAATTGGCTGGCAACACACAACATAATAACTAGGCCAGTTACAGTAATTACTATAGCAACTTATCGGTATGTGATAGATTTTTTGGCTATATAATACATACATAATACATCATTACAGATGCATATGCTACTAACTAAAGTTTACCTCTGCAGTTTATTTATTGCAGCTTATTGTTTTTTAACACTATTGTAGATTTAGAATAGTTTTTGTTGGATAAAGTTGCTCTTGGGTAATTCTGTTAGTAGCACATATTAGTTTGAGTATTATCTTTTATCATCTAGAGTTTCTGGAGTAATATATCGAACTTCAAAATTTGTTCTTGTGACAGGCCTAATAATAACAAAAAGCCCTATGTGGTCAAATATAGTTTTACATCATGTTTGCATTCTGCTGTGTTGCATCTATACCTCACATGCTTTGACAGTAAAATCCAATTTCTATGCAGACTGACCATAATTGTGATTACAGTGCACTTCCCTCGACACTTGATGTGCTGCAACACAAATACGGACTGTCAGAAGATGCGGCGGGAGAATGACCTTTGACCTTGTACCTCACGCTGAGACGCACAACAAGCTCCATTCTTGAGCGTCATCTCTCACTTGACAATAGTAGTAGGTTCGCCATGAACTTTACCAGTCCTGTCTTAAATCACAGCTGGACTCTTCATGCCTATTCTGTTGTATTATATTTTATTATGGGGAAACATTTTGTCTGTCTTTTGACTTCGGGTGTCTTCTGTTACTGTACTTGTTTTATTAAAAAAAAAACTCAATTTTACCTCAAGTATTTTATTATTTAAATGTTTTATCTATTATAAATGGAAATGTACTCTGATGATTAAATGAATCTCTTCTGTATGTGTCTAATGCAGATGTTTAATCTTCTAATCACATGGGTATTATGTGTATAGCCATGCATGATAAACCTCCTCACGTTCAAACCAAGTAATAATTAGAAGAAAAGAATAAAAGTTCATAGTCATAGAAACTAGTGCACTGATAGTATATGTATTGACTGACAGTACAAAACTACCTTGTGATAATATATTTTGTATAATGCACCATCAAAAGCATGCTTTGCATTAGAGAGGATATTTCCTTTCAAATCTATGCAACTTTCTTTTGTGTGCTAGATTCTAGGACCCAAACATGAATTATATATTAAAGCTAAGTTAGTAGAAGACATTTGATAGAATTTCATAGAATTTCACAAAGTCTAAATATATTTCCATATATATTTGGCACAATAATCCCACTCTTTTCCCAAACATGTTGACATCAGGAACTTTATTTAGAAAAACCTCTGAAAAGAAAGTTTTTTCATCTAGTAAAAGGGGTGACAATGGCATCTCCAGTGAATTTGGTATTTTCACATGCACAGCATTTAGTACTTTAATTCAATATAAAATTTCCTCTAAAAGGAATATGGTTGAAGTGTCCATACATAATTTAAAAGTGAAGGTGTCCTCTGTATAAGAAGATTCAGAGAACATATCCGGCTGGGCCAGTCAAGGGTAGCAGTGCCATTTTACATGCTATTCAGAAATAACAATCAGCTTTTCCTATCCATAACTGTTCATTAGGCATTGTTTCCTTAACTGTACATGTTACATGATATATTCATGTTTGAGGTTTTGAAAACTGTACAGTGTAGGAGGAAATCAAAACAAAAAGTTCTAAACTTCAATTTTTCTGCCAAGTGTAATAAAATGAATCACTAAAATCCTTCCTTTTTAAACCATGCAGCGCTTGTCCATTTTTAGTCATGGTCCACAAATAGAGCAGAGACAGAGCCAGCAGAGGACCCAGAAATTTTACTTAACTTTAGAAGAGAAGGGAGAATTCATTTTAGTATATACATCCTCCACTGTATATCATTTAAAGATATTGTTCTCAGCTGGATAGGAGGTTTTGTTTTCACCAGCCATCAGTGACACTGACGATAACGCTAAATGTAGCTGCTAGATTGATACCAACTTCAAATGGAGGCAACCTATGTAAGTATTATAAGGTTATTCATAATTGTTGTAATCTACATTTTATACACACAATACAGGGCAAGCTCTCAGAATGTAATTTCTTTTTTACCCTTTGATGACAAATGTAAATTATTAATTACATTGAATTTGAATAGACTGCATAAAATATATAAAAATAGTCCCTGCCCATCAGCTGAGATTCAGTGCTACTATATTTGTTTAACCCTCACATGAGCCACTGCTCCTTCTCTTTATTGAACTGTTCTGCCCAGCTTCGTGTGAGCTCCAGGAAATGCTCTGGTCCATGGGGCTGGTAGTCCAAGTACACCCGGCTCACAGTCTTCTTTGGAACCGCCCTCTCTATCTGTGTCCCTTCATGCCATTCATTAAAGGACGTTATAGTTACCATCTCTGGCCGCACGTTTAATGCTGCCTGCAGGGCTGTTTCATAATACCTCCCGTTCACCCTATTTCTTGTGTTATGATTGTTCCAAGGCCTTATACTGGTGTCTATGTAGCCTGGCCCCACACTGGGAATGAACAGCAGGTTGTTGGCATCACAAAACGCCTTGATTGCTTTCCAGTTGTGGTGAGACGATCCAAAGGAGAAACCATTGGAGGCGAAGTAGGTGTACATGCCGTCAAAGCCCGCCGCCAAGATATCGTGCTTGTGGCGTTCTTCCACAATCAGGGCGATGAAGAGGGAGTCGTAGGCTGAGGCGCGGAGGCTGTGGGAGCCCGTGGGAGACAGCAGCTCTGACCACGACTCGGGGGAGGTGAGGTAAGAGTCGTAGATGTAGAACAAAGGCATGCTCTTTCCGTTGCTGGTGGTGAACTTGTAGAAGGCTCCGTGGTCTCCATATCTGTGAAATGAAGATTATGACACATCAGAAGTAACACAGGCGTTATCATCAATTGAAATCTCTATACTTGCTAAGTGTATCAAAAAAACAAATACAGAAAAGTAGCTGTACATGCTTGGAACCAGAGGTGCTACCTCAATGTTTTTAAAGGTGCACTGCGTAAAATTTCTAGTGGAGGATCTGCCACCTTTTTGTCTACATGGAGATGTTATTGGTTAGTCTAAAATGTTCCACAGTAAAGAGACAGGTAGGTAGCGGACTCTCCACCAGAAAAGTTGCTCATTGCTCCTTTAAGTATTCAACTTCACTAATTTGGATAAGTTTATCAGTTAAATTTACACTATATTGCCAACCGAATTCAGTTTAACACAGCTTCACTCTTCAGACCCTTAATGTTAAGTTGTTTTCTATACACCACTATTTTAAATTGTACAAAGACCAAAGCTATGGTGCCAAAGTAGTTTTAAAAGACTGAAAAATACTGGACCTTTGGTTGTTCATTGTTCATTGTTTCCTTACAAACAAAAGGGGTCAAAAAGGACAAATTATAACCTATAGTGGACTTCCACTCTTCTCAATAGAACTTAAAAAAAACAAACATATATATATAGAAAGTTTGAAAGACAGTGATTTTGAAGAGTAGATCTCTTGTTGCTACACTGTTGTTTTAGGGCAGTAGCTCCAAACTTTACCTGTCAATGATGTACTTGACATTGTCGTGTACGCTCTGGTCATTTCGCCCATGGTACGCCTGGATATGGAACGTTACCTGTGAGAAAATACACATTAATAATGCATTATGATTCACTTCATACATTTCACACAGACACTGCAGTCAGCACTTCCAGGTGACCTTAACAGTGATTATTGACAACAAGTCTATCTATCCGTGTCTCTGGGGACTCATCTCATAGAGCACTGACAAATGAGACTTCATACATAATCAAAGGTTTGGGGTTAGCCAGAAAGAATATGACCCATTGGAAAGACATAATAATAGTGTGACTGAAGACTAAACACAACGATGTGCAAAAGTCAGACAATCAAACTAGGGCTATTTTCACAGTACAGTATAGAATATGGGGACAATATGCAATACTTATGGTGATAGAATGACAATGATTTAGAGAGAGTGTTCAATATTGCATGTACATTATTCAGTGCTCCTAGATTCAAGGAATTGCACTAAATTTTCTATTTCTATTTTTTCTGTTTGTTTTTTTTCTCCTAAAACAATGTCCTGGCTTGGTACCTGATGTCTACAATGTATGAGAGTGGTACCTAATTTTTTTCCTCAGTGTGCCAAAATGAATTCTTGTTTGAACATAAAAATGTTCTTCGCAAAGTATGATTAAATTGTCTTTAAATATTAAGAAATAGACAGGATTGGACTCCTTCTCATCTCCTGACAGTGTTTTCAATACAGAATTGAATCAAAAATGACAATCTCAGAGCCCCCTTGTGGACCACATTGTGGAGGTGGAGGGCTGCTTGTGGTGCCCACTTTGAGCACCCCTGGTTTAGTTAGTTAGTTAGTCACATAACAATCCAGATGTAGATACAAACATGCGTGGTTTATGGATGTAGAGGATAAAATAGTCTTAAATGCTTTTATTTCTACATTATTACACAGTGGCCCAACAGTCTCTGAATATAGATTTTAAACACGTTTGTAGCACAGTCCACAGTCACTCACATGCAGCATGTTCTGCAGGGCTGTAGCTGTCCAACTACACAGATTTAAACGATATTCTATGGGCACTACATTAATGGGAGTGCTTACACAAACACCTTATCGGCCATAAACCCAAACACGAGAGAGCGAGGGGCCTAAGTGGCATGTAACACAAAAAGTGCTTAGTTTGAATGTTTCAAATTCATCTTGAGAATTCAGTGACTTTGAATAATGGATGTAGAAAGTGCAACACAGTTCAGTCTTGTGTCCAATGGGAACAGTTTGAGGAAAGCGCTTTTGCCTCTTAACATCTGCGTCTTAATGGAAGACACCAGAAAGGAGACTCTTTGCCAGCTAGACATTTCAAAGAGATACTTAAATGTTTTTTTACTTGGAATTGTAATAAAATGGAAGAAGGACAAGCCAAAGTGGTTATGTTTTGGACTCACAATGAAGAATTGGAAGTGCAAATGGGACTCTTGGCTCCTATGAGGTTGTCCCCCTTACTTCGATTATAAGTGCACTAATGTATTTACAGTAATGAAATTTGCTATTGTCAGGCAGATATTTTTAGGAAGTAGAGCATGTTTGATCATCTGTCCAAGGCTGTCATCTAAAAAAAATGACTAACTTGGGGGTCATTGGGTTTTAAAAATGAAAGTTCTTGACATGCTTCAGAAAACTGGCATTAACCCATCCAAATATCGAAGCTATTGATTTTGAGAGAGACAAAACTAGTGTGTAATCCTAGACTGTAGTCCAAGAATTGCCCTCCTTTTCTGTAGAACAAGATGGAATATTTATGACAACAAAACCTTCTAAATTGTCACATGTGAAGAGCATAGAATTTACTGCACTCAGTATCTGATGAGCGATAATGATGACTTTCAGTCCGAGTACCACCTACAAAAATATTTGGCTTTCCGAGTACCAACAGAGCTATACTGGCTTTAATATAGTGCTGTTATTCAAGGTCTAAACTAAGGCTAAACCAGGTCTAAAACTGTAATGCAGCACTAGTGGACAACTACAGCAGTTCAGTATACTATACTACATGATTATTTCAGTGCCTAAGCAATGGTTTTGATGCTGCACCTTATACTACATGTGGTTTTGTTGTCACAGTTGCCTATATTGTGCTTTTTCTGTTCTAGGTTATAATGATGTTTCCTCATCACAAACATACCCAGATTTGTGTTTTGTTTCATTCACACATGTCTAATACTCAAACTCTGCATATTTAGCCCTAAGTTCTAATCTCCAATGAAAAACACTTAATGTCATATGATAATACAAGAAATGCTCCTCTGTGTTTTAAACTTCTTACACTTCACTAAAA